TTGTACGTAGAAAGTGCAGCGTTGCACACCCTGTTTTCAACCCAAGATAAACAACGGATTTAGAGAGAATTGTTACTATGATCAACAACCTTCATTATTTTAGAGAGAGCATACCGGGCGTAGAGGAAGACCAATGGGGCTGAGGATGCAATTAGCTCTTGGTGGAACCCGATCTCGAGGATGATGAAACTTACAAGATGTTCCAAACTTACAATCTCCTGTTTTCAAATAGTATTGGCACTCTGGTTCACCAGGTCTCTCTGGAAAGGCCTGTTCTTTCTGTATAACACCTGTAGGAGAGGACAGAGATGGATAAACCCCGGGAAGCGAAGGAGTGGTGGAAGAGAGCTGTGTAACTCCATATAAAGAAGTTGCCCCAACAGCGTGCTGCGCACCAGGAGATAGAGCAGGGCTCACAGGTGCCTGAAGCAAAAGTGAGTCAGAAAGAGACTGTGGTGAATAATAAATGTATTGATGATACAACAATCAAAAAAAGGTTACCGAATAAGGACTCCAGCCTGGAATAGGAACGACCCCGGGGGTTAATAGCATTGGACCATAGGCGCCTTGCATATAAGAACCGGGAAGAAGAGTTCTTGCAACTCTCAAGCTAGAAGATGGACCTCCATACTGGTCAGGCATAAGTGACTGCACCGATGGATAAAACTGAGGTGCAGATGCTGGTGGTGGTGGTGGGACAGTTGTACCAGCAGGCTGAGGATGATGAAATTTACAGGTTATACCAAATTTGCATTGCCCCGTTTTCAAATAGTAGGAGCATTCGTTATCACCCTACAAAGAGTTTTTAAAAGATGATGCAAACTCGACACTAGCCTTGATTTGACATGTAGAAAAGAGTGGAAACAAAGCTTACCTCTCGTACTGGGTATCCATATATATTTAGTGGAACGTGGGTCATGGATCCACCAGCATTCTTTGGATGGTGGAATTTGCATGACGCCCCAAATTTACAGGTTCCAGTTTTCAAGTAAAACTAGGAACATAACCGGAATGTAGGATCAATAATATCACTAAAAACCTTGTATCATCACTTGGATCATAAAAAAAGACTGGTCGGGGATACCTACCTGGCATGGGGGTTCACCTAAACG